GGAAGAACAGCGTGAAGATTGCAGACGTTGTAGAAAGGCTGGTGACGTCCTGTTGCCTTGCATAATCATGGAAAATAAAGGGGCCAGAGAGGCAGGGTTGTAGTCAGGAGGCTGAGCATGTCATGGGACATTAAAACGTTCCTTTCAATTTGCTTTTTGCAGCTCAAGCCGTTAACCTCCCGTGTGCTCTTTGGCTGTTATTGACCAACACGTGGCCGTGAGCAGAGGCAGAACTGCGGGTCAAGTGCCGGTGATCAGCCCGACAGCTCGTTTTCCTCCTCCTCCTGTAGGAAAAGGGACTGTAACACGTGGAGATGCTCTGAGTGATGCTGGGTACAGCTGGCTCTGCGGAATCACCCCCCTAAGCTCGTGCTAGGTGTGTGGTTGGGGCAGTTTGGCCAAAGCTGGGGTCTTTGCACCTATTTCAGCTGGTGGGAGAGTGTCTCTAATGATGCCCTGAGTTGGTTCTTGTTGCTGGCGTATGTTACTGCCTAAACATCTGTGAAGGGTTCCTGGTGCTTTGGTTTTGGCTGTTGAAAAGGGCTTTGCAGTCCAGTAGTCACCTGGTAAATGTGTTGCCCTCCAAGACGTGGGGTTTAAAGCTCAGAGATCCCAAATGAGGCTGATTTGTGTTGTGTTGTGATGTCGCCTTCTCCCTTTTGGGTCCTCCTGCTGGTCTCAAAGCAATCCAGGATGCATGGTAAGGCCTTGGGGTGCTCCTTTGCTTTGGTAGCAAACGTTTTCTCCTATTCTTCCCTAAAATCTCTTCCCCTTACTCTTTTTTTTTGTTTGTGATATAGATAATTCCGAGCTTGCTCTCTCAGGAAGCTGCCAGCACAGTGGTTGCAGGTAGTTGAGCTCTACAGAGGGACCCAACCTTGGACTGGCAACAACATTCGGGGTTACAAGTTTGAAACCTGCAGAGAACCTATAAAACCCTGCAGAAGTTGCACAAATTAACCCACTTTTTAGTCGTTACTTCTGGAGTGCAAATATTCAACTCCAGCTTGGCTTGTGTCACACTCTCTACTTAGCCTGATCTATTAGATATCAATATTTCATGAAAGACAGTGAGGATGTTTCCAGACCAGACTAGTGAACTGAAGCCTTGGCTGAAGTGACCCAGATTGAAGACACTTGCTGGGGCTAGGAATATTCTGGGTGAAAAACACTGCAAAAAAATGTGTGTGAATCCCTATTTTAGCTGTAGAGAAGCAGGCACTGGAAGTCCCTAAGGAGGGGATGCGGAGTGCAGTTTCTGCATGTGCGTCTCACCTTGAGCAAGTTGCTTCTCCCCACTGAGATGGTTTTTGTCCAGCTGTTTTAAAAAATAATAATAATCAAGTGTAAATTGGAAGCATCCAGCCTTCTGGCAGAGATGTGATTTGGTTGCTCTGTGAGAGGCCCTTTGAGAAGGTGCCGTGAGAAGAATGTGAGATTATTCCGTTTTCTGCCTTGCTCCGAGTGTAATTGTTTGCGCAGGGAACTTCTGCAGCTTGGGCGAGGGCTGCGAGGAAGTGTCATGCTTCTGGGATGTGGAAGATGAGAAAACCACACACACAAAAAAAAAAAGCAAGAAAAGAGAAGACTGGCAGCCCTGCATTGCAGGTATAATCAAATGTTTGTTACGTAACACGCAGTCCTAAAAATTACTGCAATATTTTAAATGGCGGGATTAAGCGATTGGGTGACCTGTAAAGATGAAGAAATCCATTTAGATGTCTCGGGAATGGTGCTGGTGAGGGCAAAAAAGCTGAAAGTGACTAAATGTGGGAAGGAAATGATTGTGTTTTTGGAAGGCAAGTTGTAGTGTGTGCAAGCGAGCTCGGTGGCTTTGCATTTGAGCCTGGTTTGCATGTCGTCAGGAGGGCTCACGTCTGCCATGCTGAAAATGACTCCAACCAGCTCTGGGAATGCAGGAGAGCAAAACAAATAAAAGTCGTTAGTCCGATGGCTAGTGAGGGAAGACATTCTGCTGAAAGTCTGGCCAGCGTGAGGCCCCATGCCCTGGTGTTTCAGGAGCTGGATGCTCCTTCTCAAGCCCTCGTGTCCTCCTCTCCTTTTCTTGACCTTCTGCAGTTCATCCTTCATCAGGCTTCATATTTTTCTCTCCTGCTCTACCTGGAAACCGTGCTTCAGGACTGTAGATCTGCTGCTGCTTTGTGTGTCTCCATCCCAGTGGAGGTGGCCACACCTTGGAGGTGGCACCAGTCACCCAAGGTCCTTCTTCCCATTTTTGCTGAGGCTGTTGAGGACACCCAGTGGTCCTGGCCCAGATTCACGTTGCTGAGGTTGATCAAGATTTAAATTCCCAAGACAGAAACCCTTGATTTAAGTCATTGAGTTTGATCTCATCCCACATCTTTGTTCCGCGGTTGTTTTTTGAGCCAAGTCTTGATTCTCATTGCTTGCTAACCATTGCGATACACTCGTAACTATTTTTCTTCTGCAAATGTGGAGAATTTCTCATACAGATGTGCTTTCATTTAGGCAATTACATAACTTAATACACACTCATTGAGCTTTGTAATTTTTCCTGGGCTTAGGAAATAGTAAGTGAGACCTGGATTCAATTTTTTTCCTTGAGATTAGCACCAAGCTGCATTTGAAGGCACACATAGATTCCACCGAACACAACTAAGAGAAATGTGCTGAGTGCCTGGGAGTCCACGCTGAGCTTCCGAGCACAGATTTCCTTATTCGATACGTTAAAAATGAAGAATTGTTGGTAGCTCCGTTAGCATCATTGTTTGTTGCTGCTTTTAAAGCCAAGGGACATGTCCAGCATAAACAGCAACCTGTCCTTTAACAGGATGGTGCCACCTGTAGCTCCAAGAAATCCTTTTTACGCTCGCTAAGAAGCTGGTAGGAGGTTTCTATTCTGCTCTTGTGGTTTCCTGTTTAATTTATATACATCAGGCTCCTTGATATTCAGCATATAGACGTGTATACGTGTGTGTGTCTGTGCTTTCTTTGGGCCAGATGTCCTCATACCTACAGGCAACGGCACGCGCATGTGCATTGCTTGCGGATACCAAATCTGAACTTTGAATGAGGTCTTTTGCTCCACTCAGTTTCATTTCTCAAGTCCTTGGCCTGGAAATTCCCCTGCTGCTGGAGCTCCTAGTCTCTTCCATCCAGATCTGCATGAGTAAGCAATGGAATTCCCGGGATTTGAGTGAAGCCGCCTGTTGACCAGGCGGAAGAGCCCGGCACTCGAGATAGCCAACGTTTTATCATCCACTTTTAGCACAGTGTTGAGATTTGTCACCCAAGCAGCGGCACCACGGTCAGTGTCCGACCACCTTCCTTTTCCCAACTTCACTCTTCCCTCTTTTTCTTTTCCCCATGGAAAAATGGGGCCTCCCTGGCCCACCCTGGGGAACGCTGACCCTCACCCTCACGCTGTCAAGGTTATGGCGATAAATCCTGGCGCTTTGTCACCGCTCCGCGGAGTAAATTGGCTGGCCGCTCTTGGGCTGAAGGGGAGATAATTTGCTGTAGTATTTCAAATGGATTAGAGATGGATTTGAAGGGAAAGTTCATGCCTCCCATTACAAAGGCGAGAAAGAAGACTATCTTAAGGCACTGTTCACACTCCGGCCTTCATTATCCACGCTTAATACCTTTCCCATTTTCCAGCGTTAATGAAATTTCCTGCCGGAGCGGGCCGGCTGGCCGGCCGGCAGCACTCCACAAGCACGTGTGGAGCTTGCGGCGCCCAACGGGGAATTACAAGGACCTGGCGCTGGGGCCGTGTTCACCGGGCCAGGCGTTTGCAGCTCCTTAATTGGATCCTCCCCTTGAGTGAGGAACTTGTGGAAGACGCAGACGGCATGATCCCGGACGCTTTCTCCAATGTATCTAGCTACTGCCATATATATTTTATTTTTTATTACTTACTTGACCTGCTTTTTTATTATTCTTAAGTGCTCAACGTTGCTTTTTTCACAGCCTTAGCAGTGCGTTTATCCTCCCGCTCTGAACCTGCAGATGCTTCGGGATAAACACTGGATTTTTCCGTCCAGTGGCAGCATTTTGGCAACTTGGTAGCCCTTGCTGAACGAATGACCCATGCCGTTAAGCACCAAAAAAAGTAGCTATTACATTGTGCAATTCCTTTTTGCTTTGCAGCGTCCCCTCACTGCAAGGTAATGCTCTCCAGTGCTTGCATCCTGCTGATAGGATAGTGGGCCTTAATTTACGGATATTCTTCAGTAATGCACACTTTATGTACATGGGGCTAATAGCATTATGGGCATAGTTTGTCCTAATGCAAAATTAGAGCTCACGATTTGCATAAACAAATTGCTGTCTGGATTAGTGCTGAATGCCAATGACGCCCGATGGCCGAGGTGATCTGCTCTTGACTCAACGGCGCCCAAGGAGGGTAGTATCCCCCCTCTCAGCCCTCTCCTTTGCTGAAAAATTTGCACAAAAGGGACCTTGAATCTGCCTCCTGACCCAGCTTGTGTTGCAGGCTCCGTCCTAGATGTTGGGTGCCTGGTGATAGGTGGGAAACGGCATCAGTCTCAAACCTTCGCAGCAAAAGCCAGGAGCTGGGGTTGGAGGTAGCTGCAGCGATCCCAAAGCTGGCAGAGCTCCGTCAAGCTCAGGGACTGTCCCACATTCCTGATTGCTCCTCCTGTCTGTGCTGTTACCAATGCTCATTTCTTTGCTGGTGGGCCTAGAGCTGCAATTGATGAGTCTTGGGGTGATGGGACCACGTGGACCATTTGTGGAGATCTAATGCAATATCTGTGACTGCGAAAGCCGGAAGTAATGGAAAATTGGAGCTTTTCCACAGTCCAGAGCAAGAACATCCCTGGTTTCTTTCTGTAAGGCTGGAGAGCTCTTTCTCCATCATCCAGTGCCATATCCTGTGAGTTGTGAGTGTGGAGTCTGCGTCTGGATGTTCCTCAGAGCCTTGGGTTTGTCCGTGCAGCAGCAGCCTCTGGTGATCCACACTGACCCCCTCTCCGTCTCCCATTTCCTTGCAGATCGCCGGGATTGAACCCAGCGCGCCCGTCACCAACGAGCAGCAAGTCGCCGCAGCTGCAGCAGCGCTGGCGGAGCAAGGGCTTGCGCTGCATCGGGGGCGTCATGTACAGGGTGTCAGCCAACAAACTCTCCAAGACCTGCAGCACCCCCGGCCGGAGCAGGGACCTGAGCACCAAGAGCCCCAGCAGAGCAGGTGAGCGCTGAACGTTTTAACAGTGGTTTTAACAGCTCAGTGGTACTGGTTTTAACAGTGCCTGGAGAATTTTTTTGAGTTTCTGCCCGGGCCTCTCATACATTTGCTCCATGTCTGCTTTATTGGTGATGGTAACATCAAGTAATTGTAGGTAACGTCCCTCCTGAGAGCATGTGGGGGAGGCTCAGCAGCGTCAAGGGACGTGTGTGTGTCCATATGGCCCACACAAACATCCACAATCCTGCCTGTAACCCAGTAATCCTTGGCTTTGCTGTTGCATCCAGAGAAGGAATCAACTTTTCAAAAGCCTGGGGAGAACCCTCCATAAAGTGAGCTCGAGCAAAGCCTGGTGTCAGCGAAGCTGAGTTTCCGAGAGCTTTGCTTCCAGCAGTGGGATTTTCCAAAGTGTCTGAATCTCTTAACTCTTTGTGCCTGTCTGTGGGATCAGGCACTTCTAAGTGCTTTGGGAGGCTCTCTTGCAGAGCTGCTGCTTGCTGTTATGACATGTGTTAATTTAAAGCATTTGTAAGAAATGAGAAAAAACTGCCAGATAAAATGGATAAAAATGGATGAACTGCCTGATAAAATGCCCTTTAATAGAGATGAGAGCAGTGTGACACCCTTGGGGCAGGAGTGATCAGCAGCGCAAAACCAAGGGGGAACATCCAAGTTACAAGAAGTCCTGCTGTTGAGGACCAGTTTCTCCAGGGCATCATCTAGGGCTGAACCAACAACCAGCAAAGACAGTGAACATCTTGAAACCGTTCAGACATGTGCGGGGACCATTCTGCTGTAGTCTCTGTGGGAAGGCCTTAGGTGGATAGGCAGTGATTCTGTGAAGTGCTGGAGAAAGTCCGTTGGTTTGACCATGGCATTGGGATTTGTAAAGGGCAGGTTACATGATCTCCTGCTCGAGGAGGGCATGGGTAGAGGGGGTCCTGCCTTGCAGTGAGGTGGGCTTGATGACTCCAGCTGCTGCTTGATTTTCAGTAGATCCATTTAATTAGATGCCAAGAATTAGACCAAGGGGAGAAACACCCAAGCCCAAATGCAGTTTCTGGAAAGAGGGTTGAGCTGTGGATACGATGGGGATTTTCTCTGGGGCAGCAGCATGACAGATGGGGTTTTGCTGGGTGGCATCTCAGGTTCCTCTAAATGTGAACAAGGAGATGCGATGGCCACCGTTTCCTTGGCCACGCTTTTGCGTTGAAGGGAAATAAGCATCCCCTAGAATCCTTGGGACTTTCTGCAAAGACTTTCCGCCTTTTTGTCCTCGGTTGGAGAACAGCAGAATCTCGGGAAGACGTGAGCTTCGGTCTCAAGAAAGGTCCCAGCAAAACGCAGAGTAAGTGACTGTCTCCCAGCTTTGGTCTCATTGCTAAGGGCTCGCAATGTCCCCATGCAGCGTTTATAACCCTAAATCTTCCTTTTCTGGTGTGTGTCAGTGCTCTTGTGTTGCATTTTGGCTGTCGCCGTAATCCCTCGTGCTTTGCAAGGCTGGATTCGGCGTGCACGCATTTATCTTGCTTTAGGGTAGCTGCGGCTGGTGCCGCATGAGAGTCACACACACTGCCCGTGTGCCCAAGTCTGGGCACGTTTGCAGAACGCTCTGTGTTTAAGCACTTCACAAAGTGCATTTAAAAGAGGAAAAAAACAGCTTTTTTGCTCTCTGATAGCGCCAGACACCAGATCTTTGGGACAGTGGTGAGATGGGAGATGCTCTGGGTGCCAGGTGGCTTCTGTTTGATCTCAGCCAGATGAATCTCTGCAGCCCACTCTACCGGAAGGTCCCATTCCTGCCCCAATCCATGTGGGAATGCTATCCGCACTGTACTGCTCTTAAAACATTCCCAAATGCAATGGAATGGCAAAGACGAATAACCTGACTGAGCGGTATCGTGTTTAACGCTGTCATTTCAAAGGTGTGCAGGGAAATCTCCTGAAATTTTCAAGGAAGCCAGTGCCGACGGAGCATCCACCGCAGCGTGCAAAGACACAAGACCCGGAGCGTCGCTTCTCCGTAGGGTTAAGCTGGTTTTGCTGCCGCTTGGGAAGATCCCGTGGCGCCACGTCCTGCCCTTCTTTGCAAAGCGACATGCCCGATCCTGCTCGGATCAGCAGCGAAGCGGAGCCCCTTGATAAGCATCGTCGCCGTGGTAGAAAACAACCACTCGGAGCGGCACGGTGGGATGCACAGCACAGAAAGTGCCTTGGACACGGCTCACAGATGCATTTGGATAGGCAGGATAGGGAAAAAAAAAGGCGCCAGGCTGCAGGCCCCGCTATTAATCATCGCTGTAATCATGCGGTTAATGAACATGACAGCTCCGGCTCCCCGCGGAGAGCGGCGCCGCGGCTGGGTTAGGTCCAACGGGCGCTTCTCCGGGTGATGCGTCCCGTTTCACACGGGCTGCATATTTCCATACGGATGATGCACCTCTGAGCAGATAAATCATTTTAAAAGAGAGGGGAAAAAAAAAGAGAAAAACACCTGTCCCTCGTTGCAAGATATAAAACATCCAGCCTGCCGCCACATTGCTGCGTGCAATCGCTTGAAAAGCCCTTAATGTGCAATTCCTTGCTGCTCTCCCTAGGTAGCTTTTATTTTTTCCCTTTCTATTTTTTCCACCTTTCCTTTTTTTGGGAGAAACAAGGCTCCCAGGTTGCAGAGTGGCCAAAAGCTAAATTCAGAGTTATGACTCACTTAACTGGTCGCTGGTTTTGCGACATTGCAGGGTTTATTTGTGAGCAGATGCCCTGGGGGAAGAGGTGCGTTGGCTGTCCATCACAGGAAACTTTTGGTCCACTTAATCCTTTTTAATGTTTTTAGTTTGCTTATAATAAGATGGCTTTGTTGATATCCTTTGTTGGATATTATTGTAGTTTTTCTTTGACATGAGTTGGTTTTAGCTGTCCAGTCCAGTGAGATGTGTGGGAAGTGGCCGAATTTCACTTATGAGGAGCTGCCAAGGACCAGGCTGGGACCATAGAGCCAAACAAGGTGATTTGGCTGCACAGCCTCATTCAGCAAGGGCAATAACTGCTGTAAAGTTATTTTTCTTCATTTCTTTCAATAGCCATTGTGCGACCCTATTGTGTGTAGATGTGGCGCCAGCGGGCACATGCTGGATGATGTGCCACATCCTGGAGTTTCTAAACTGCTTTTGCCCAAAGCTGCAATAAAAAGGGATGGAACCTGGCTGGGACAGGTTGGCAGAGGGCAGGTTTGGTGGCACATGGACTTTTCATCATATTTCAATGTAGGGAAGTTCTGCAAAATGCTAAAAATCCACCCGTGCTTGGGCTTACGAGAATTTTGTTTGACCTTTTCAGCATCCTTCCGCTCCATGCGAACCCCTGTAAAAACAGCGAGTTGTGAACATGTCTGTGGTTTCTAATCTTTCTCCTCTTTCTTTCAGCGAGGTTGACCTCGACGCCCAGCAGTCCTGGCTACTCCCCATCCAGCTACCTCAACAGATCAGCCACGAGCCGCTACATTGCCAGGTCTGTGCAACCTGGGGAACCGGCCTCTGCTTGCAATGGTGTAGGAAACTTCAGTCACAGCTGATGGGGCCCTGGCTGCTTTTATCCCAGTGTATTTGTTCCAGAGTTTGTGCCAGATGTTCCAGCTGTGGCTACATAGAATGCCAGGTTCTAGCTCTATTTTATCATCTCTCGTCCTGCCAAAGAGCATCCCAGTAATAACCCCGAGCCCTGTTGCGTGCTTTATCACATGTCTCCAGCTTGGGGACAGGCACTTCATATAAAATGTAGTCATCCTTTGCGATAACTGAGGAATAACTTACCCGTTTGCTATAAGCAAAGCCAAAACGATTAATAACATCCTTCCCTGTCCTTACTTCTCTCTGACTCTCCAGGCAGAGCTTACTCGGTCGTCTGGAAAACCAACCTGACGTTTCGTGGGTCTCTAGGAACAATTATTATAAAATTTGCCAGCAGGATTAATTGCCGTCGCGCCCAGGCTACGAACGCTTAGCGAGCTTGGCAGGCAGGGCAGCCACGAGGTCCGGGTGCTGGCAGGCAGGAGAGCCCTCTTTGAACATCATAATTTAAACCAAGGAACCTTCTTCTCTTAAATCCTTCTATAATGGCTTGGCTTATGTTAGCCTCAGAAACACCACGGGGACCGACAGGTAATTTATGGTAGAGCTTGTTGGCCCCGCTCTGTAGTCACTGAATAGTTGAAGAAAAGACACTTCTAATGAAAGAATTGATGACACTTGCAATGCTCAAGTAGGGAGCAAGTTGAGGAGGGCCTTTCCCATTTAGTATTTTGGCTATGTAAAGTTGTCTTTTTCTCACTGCATTTTAACTTGACAGCTGTGGACACGCAATCATTTTAGAGTTAAAAATGTGTCTTTCCCCCACATAGTGTCCTCGTACTGGCATTTATCACAGGTAGTATTGTGTTGTAACCCATGGGCCTGTGGTTCTGGCACCGGTAGGGCTAAGGCAGTGGAAATACATATATATATGTGTATTTATATGTCTATGCCTGGTCTCTGAGGAAGCAAGGCATGCAAAAACCCAGAGAACTGAAGGCAACGGTTTTGTGTGCCCCCCTTCAGAGCCCGATATCCTTTGCAGAAGTGAATTGACCCTCCTGCACTGTGTAATTATTGGCACACTGACAGATCAAACATGTGCCCTCAGCCCGAATCTCGACATTTCTCCTCTCCCTCCTCATCCCGTGAAACTCTAGAGCTCCTCCATAATTACCTCTTCAGCTGCCAGTTACAGAAAACGTGTGCTAAGCAACTTGGATATCCCTAAGTAACTTCAAGCGGCACCGGGCGATTAATGCAGAACTCGCCTGATGTTTGGTGCTACCGTGTGTTCCTGCCACACAGGCCCTCATTCACTGAAGTCGATAAGCAGGTGCCCACTTGGAAGCCCCTGAATAGCCCTGGAGAGCCCAATGGACCAGCTGGCAGCGGCAGACGCTGAAGTGCCCTCTGAATTGTTCAGTGTCATTCTGTGCTTTTGATCCCATCACGGGAGAGGATGTTTTCAGCTTAACAGCGTTCCTGAAAACTGCAGGAAGCTCTCTCCATACCCGTAAAATCATAGGAGAGAGTCACAGTTGTGGAGGTGGTAAGGCATCTCCAGGGGTCTCTACTCAACCTCCTGCACCAAGCAAGGCTCCTTAGAGCGAGTTGCTCGGGGCCGTGATCAGCCAAGCTGGGTGTCTCCAGGGATGGAGGTCCCACAGCCTCCCTGGACAAGCTGCTCCAGGCTCTGGCCACCCTTGTGGGAAAGACTTTTTGCTTCCATCTCATCGGGATTTCTTGTGCTCCAGCTTGTCCCTGTGACTCATGCCCTTCCACAATGTCTCTCTTGAGAGGAGGCAGTCCTCACCTTCTCTACACTGTCCCATTAAGCAGTTGCAGAGGGTCGTAAGATCCTCCTTTACCTTCTGTTTTCCTGGCTCAACAAAACACCTTGGGGCCTCTCCTTGGACATCCTGTGCCTCAACCCCAACCATCCACTGGAGTTGCTCCTTGCCTGTTGCTGCCCATCACTTGGGAGTCCCAAACTGAACCCAGTGTCCACTTCTGGTCTCACAAGTGCCAAAATGAGGGCAAGGATCCCCATCCTCATCCTCTTACCCACATTTTTGCTAAATCAGCCCCAGACGCTTGCAAGGACACCTGGCTGGCTCCTGGGTACCATGTGGTCCCCCAGGATGCCCAGGTCTTCAGCTGCAGCGGAGCTACCTAGGCAGTTGACCCCAGCTTGTCCTGGTGCATAGGGCTATTTTATCCCAAACACAGATGTATCCTGGGAGATTGGTGACACATTGCAATTTTTTAGGATTCAGGGTAAAGTTGACCAAAAATCAAAATGACATAAGAGCTTAAGACCTCGTAAGAATTTCCTGAATCTCACTGTCTTTAAAGTGGAACTTGGCCTTTTCGCTGATTTTAGGAGTTGTCAGCCAGTTTTCTCTATGTCGTTGTGCAAATCAGGTTGCTGTATTGATGTTGGAGATGTCACCTGAACCTGTCTGTCTCCCTCTGTTTAGCCGTGCTGTTCAGCGGAGTTTGGCCATCATTCGTCAAGCCAAGCAGAAGAAAGAGAAGAAGAAGGAATATTGTATGTACTACAACCGCTTTGGCAAGTGTAATCGTGGAGACAGCTGCCCTTATATCCATGATCCAGAGAAAGTGGCTGTCTGCACCAGGTATGGACATCAGTAAGCACTTGCTTTGACCCGTCGTAACAGATCAGGCTGTGAGTGTTGGTGGGCTTTGGTGCTTGCTCATGTGATATTCTCCAGGGAAACATCCAAATAACAGATACGTAAGAACACAAGAACTGCTGTCCTTGTCCAGGCTGAGGGTCTGTCTAACCCCATCGGTTTGGAAGGTGCCATCAGAAACAGGCCAAGTATCGAGGCCTTTGGAGGAGGCTCTTTCTCCTAGACGGGACCTCTCAGCTTCTGACAGTTAAGTCCTGTTGCTTGGTAGAGTTTTCAACTGTTAGAAGTTGCAAACAAGCCATCATGTAGTCCTTTCCTTAACCTATCATGTTTCTGACAGCAGATTGCCCAACTGAATTAATTACTGGAGGCCTCTTCATTCATGTTTTATGAGAAGTATGGAGTAATCATCCCCTAACCACTTTCTTGGCACTGTTTATAACTCTGTATAGTCCCCTTGCTTTCTCTCTCCAAACTTGCCAGCCTGGAGGATCATGATCTGTTTAATTCCTTCTAATAAGGGAATTTACACAGCATTTTACTTCTACAAAGTGCTGGTTGTGCCAATTAAGCATTGCACAACCAGACTCCAAGTTAAATAGACACGTTTGGTTGTTCAGTGCAGCTTGTGAGGATCACAGATCTTGTGAATCTCCATCCTGGCCCTCTTCTGTGAATCAGAAGACAGTGTTGGTCTTTTGTCACCTTACCTGGTGCCTTGTGGCTTTAGTCCCTTTCTGTATCTCTCTGCTATTATCTCGTGCCTCAGTGCCTTTTGTTTGAAGCTGTCCCTTTTTGCCCAGATATGGATGTCTTGAAAGGTTGCCGCAGATGTCAAGAACCTGTTGGCCTAGTTGCCATCCACCCATGCTGCCTGCATGTGAACAACTGCTCACTGTGGTAGCTCCTGGAAGAACTTTGAGTCGAGATGCCTTCTTGCTCCCTGGGATCTGGGTGTCTTGGGCAAATCCATCTCTGCAGAGGACCATCTCTGGTCCTGCTCTTCAGCCCTCATGCCTGACCACCCTTGAGCACAAAGCTGCCCTCCCTGAGCCTAATTGAGCGTCCTGCATAATCCAGCCTTTACAAAGGACCTTCCATCAACCTCTGATCTGAACATCGTGGTTCAGGGCTGAGCTGAGCATCAATCCATTGAGAAAGAGCAAGGTCCTTCAGGAGACCCTGGTTGCTCTTCTGAGGGGAGAGACAGGCATCAGTTTGCTTTGTGCAATGTCCTGTTGCATTGGACTATGGTGTGTAGTCTCGCTCTCCCGCTAAACCCTCTGCCCTCTTGTGTTTTGGCAGGTTTCTCCGTGGCACGTGCAAGAAGACAGACGGGACCTGCTCCTTCTCTCACAAAGTCTCCAAGGAGAAGGTCGGTACGGCTTCCTAGCCAGTCCTTTCCTCCAGCTTGCCTATGGAGTGGAGCCAAGGGGGTGGCATTTATGGTGGCTGTAGAGACATCACCACTAAGGAGCGTTTCAAGTTGAGTTTGTGCCAAGCTGTTGGGACTCATTTGTGGAGTCAGAGTGTCCAATGACAGCGCGAAGCGGTGAAGTGAGAGATTAATGCAGGGTTAATACCCATATTTGAACTCAGAGCACCTGGGGTTAAGGTTTTTGCAGTATCAAGAACACAGGTTGGATTGAGGACCATTTTTGCTGTGCTCAGTGTATTTGAGGCTCTTGGATTTTTATGATGCAAGGGAGGGTTGAAAAAAAATTAGTTGTTTTTCATTGAGCAATTCTCAGTTGACAGTTTAGCGAGTTAATCTCCACTCAGGGACTGGGATTTCCAGCTGGATGTAGCCTTGTGGTCCTAAAGATTGAAGCCCAGGTAAGGTTGGCCAAGCGCAGCTGCAGGCTCATGGCTGGGACAAAATGCTTTAAGCTTTGGGTGGCCTTGCAGGGACGTTTGTCCATCACAAAGGACCACACGGGTAACAGGAGGGAGTTTAAATCCCGTGTGTGTGTTAAAACTGCAGTTGGAGCAGTGTCACTGTGCTGGGAGCAGTTCCTGGTCTTCTCCAGGGATGCAGGTGCTGAAATGTGGTTGGGATGAGACCTGATCTTCCCTGGGGAACCCATAGGAATTCATGCCTTCCGTGCTCATCGTATGGGTCCGTGGACAAGGAGCTGCCGAGGTTGCCAACAGGACTGCGGTTTGGTGCTGCTTGCTGTCCCATGGACTTGGGAAGTGTTAGCGTCCCGTGAGTTGATTCCTGGTCACATTTTGGGTTCCTGTGTGGGATGCAGAAATGGACCATCCCATTGGAAACCCTCGTCTTTACCCGGGAAAGCCGCCTGGATTTCCCCGTTACAGCAGGGATCCAGTGAAGAGCGTTTCCCTCTCCCCAACACCCCCCTCCTTTCCATCCCAAGCTCCCGCTCCAGCTGCTCTCCAGGAAGCGACTCGTGCTCACCGCAAGCCCCTGCTGTTCCGACAGCTTTTCCCCTTGAGAGAGTTGGCTGCGAATCAGCGTTTTTTCTCCCTAATAGAGCCGCCAAAGTCCGCTGCGAGCAATTTGGTGCTTCCCGGCGAGCTCGCGGGTTCATTAGGCGCTGCCTCCGGAGCGCGCGCGCGCCCGCGCTCGGAGCTGTCGAGCCGGGGCCGCAGCATGCCAGTGCCTTGAATTAATGTTATTGTTATTTGCGTGGATGTAGTGGGGTGCAAACAAGGTTAATTGAAATGAGAGCGCTGCTTCCTCTTGATAATAGCTCCTGCTTGACAGCTAGGAGGAGTTTATTTGGGCCTAAGAGCCGCCTTTATTATCCCTTTTTATTAGAGCTAATTTGGGCCCTATATCAAAAACTGCATTAAGGGAATCGTTTGCGGTCACACGGCCCCCCCGGCAAAAAAAGATAGCCCTAGAGCCCTGTCCTTTATGGTAATGCCTGCGGTTAAAAGACGATTAAAATTAAACTCTTTTCTTTCCAAGCACCCTTTGTTTTTTCTTCTCCTCCCCTCTCTATTCCTCTTTTTTCCTGCTTTTCCTCCGGCCGACAGATTTATTTAAAACCCTCGGGTGCCCTTCAGGGAGAGGGACTTTCCGGCGGCGGCCGCCGTTATTGTAAATATCGCCTTGGGGATGCTCGCGGCAGGCTGTAAGTAAATCCGGCACTTAGGCGCCAGCGGGAGGACGGAGGAAAGAGCTGGAGGGTCTGGGGCCTGGGAAAGGGCAAGGAAGGGAAAACGGGGCTTACAGTCCCCAGCAGCACAGCCGCGTGCTCGGATTGGCGCCTTTTGCGAGCAGAGTTGCTGCTCTTCTCGCCCCTTCAAGGTCAGCCAGGCGCGTTGGCAGCTTTACGGTTGCAGGGACAGCCGGGGAAGCCCCTGCTGGTGACGGCTGAGTTTATTACAATTCTCCTCTCCCTTCCCTGTGCTGCATAAGGAGGCGGTTTCCTCTGCGCTGGCAGTTTTGGCTCTTCCCAGGATGCAATGGCAGCGGGGATGCCGTGAGCCCGCGCAGTGCCAGGGAGCCGTATTGCAAGAGCCCAGCAGAAGAGCTAAAAATACCACGGGGAGCAGCGGCTGACAAAAAAACATATTCATTTTATGCATGTCAGGGTTTTATTTCAGTCCTGGGTGCTGGAGCAGCTCCTAATCTCCATGACCGTGGCGGGGGGAGCACTGATGGTTTCTTCTCCTCCTCTGCCCTTGCAGATGCCGGTGTGCTCGTACTTCTTGAAGGGGATCTGCAGCAACAGCAACTGCCCCTACAGCCATGTCTACGTGTCCCGCAAAGCCGAGGTGTGCCAGGATTTCCTCAAAGGCTACTGCCCCATGGGAGAAAAGGTAAAAGAGGGGCTCGGCACGCTGATTCCCCCACCATGGCTGGGATGGATGCCCACAAGCTGTTCCTCATGCGAGCGATGGCACCAAAGGGAGCCGTACAGCTGGAAGCTGCCAAACACCTGGAGGTGATGAACGGCAGCCCCGTGTCTTTCTGGAGGTTTACGAGCCAAAGGGTTTTATTGCCTGACCAGTAGGCAACATATGAAAGGTGTTTCTGGCCACCCCAGGGCCTCCATAATGTTTCCCACTACTCATTGTTTTTCATGGCTTCCTTCTCCACCCGGCCATCGCGTTGAGCCAAGGGAGAAGGTAGACCATCTATCTACCATAGATACGGAGGACTTTGGGATCTACCATAGTTCTCCTGGGTTTCAAGGACCTGGGACCTTGGCATGCCTTGCTGTGTGATTACTGCACCGTAGTCATCCTGAAAGACCAAATCTGGTTTTCAAGGAGTTCCTTGCCATGACGGGTTAATTAAACATATATCTACCTTTTTTAAGGGTTCCTCGTCCTGGTGATGGAATGGTGAAGAGCAACGGAGTGCTCCAGGGATGGACCTTCCTTGGCTTTATGCTGAGATGAATTTCTCTTCACCTCTCTAAGATGGAGTTTGTAGCCTCAGCATGACATGAAGTCTTTCCTGTGTGCTAAGCATGGATCTGTAGCCTCCTGTTCTACTTATTGACCTACTCTGATTGGGTCCTAGGCTTTCTCCAGACTGTTCCTCCAAGCACTGTCTCTTGGGCCAAGAATTTCCTCCTTAGCTTTTATTTTTGGCGTGGTCCTAGGAAGTGCTGTTACAGCACGGAGATCTGAAGGACAGGCGTAAGTGCAGGTGGATGCTTGTGAGCTGCCTTAGCCATATGCTGACCCAGGTTTGGAAATTTCCAAATTCCCTGGGATTTCTTGGTGCGAGAAGCCTGATCTTCTGAGGTTCCTTAGAGGGTGGCTTTGCTGTAGTGTGGCAGCTTCCCTGAAGTGAAAACCTGTCCAAAAAATACCTTTTAATAGACAGAAATCTGTCTTGAAAGTGTCTTGATTCCTTTCCTAATGTTGGGCCAATGCTTTTTATGAGGAACCTCTGGAGACAAGTGATGTCCCAACCTCTCATGATGTAGGAAGCGGTTGTAGGTCTGGGACACCGTCCAGGTGGTGTAAGTTGGGCCTTGGCTATGGCAGAGCTTCAAGGGACATCAGTGAGGACAAATAGGATGAGAGGTAACTTGTGGCCATGCTGCTTTGGCTCTTGTGGTAGTATCATCAGTCTCCCACAGAGAATGGCTTCTACTGCTGGAGAGAAGGTTCCCAGGTAGCTTCTGGATGTTCCTGACCTTCCTGTGTGTCTCAAAAGAAAAGATAAACAGTAAATTTGCCAAAAAGATGAATAAACAGACAAGAACAGGCTCTGAGGCATGCAAAGGTTTCGTGTTTCTGATGTAGTTGAGAGCTGGTGGCCTGCTCTGTTCTGCAATGACTTACATGGTGGCTTTCAGGTCCAGCATTCAACCATGTTCTGCACAATGCTGTTCCATCCCTGGGAACCCCAGGCTGATTTAGCTAGAGAATGGGACCCATCCTCCTCTCTCCATCCACTTCTCTTCAGAGATTTCACCTATCACCAGTAGGAAGCATTTTACAAGGCTTTATGTAGAGGAGAACATCAGATAAATGTTTGTGGTTGGGTTCAGCTGCTGCCAGATACCAATGGCAAGTGAGCAGATACCAGCTTCTCCAGGAGCCTCGAATCCAAGCGGGACACCCTGGTGGGTACCATGATGCTGACAGGATAGCGACCGCCCAAACGCGGCTTTAAATGTGCTCTTCAGCTGCAAAAAAACCCCAAAATGAGATGCTAATGAAACAATCATTTTGTTTATGCAAAGTCTGCCAGATCGCAGGGCACCGGCCCAAATATTTCCCAGCAGGCCTGTAGAATGATATGATTTGATTGCATTTAATAGAGATGCGTGAAGAAGTGTCTGCCTAGGCATGGTTTGGCAGGCGTGCTGCTCCTGTAGGGGCTTTTTCCCCCTCCTCACGTCTGAGGCTGCTTTTCAGCAGGGGTTTTGCCAGTAAGAACTGCTGGATGGATGCTCGGAGCGATGCGTTTCTCCAAAGCCGGCACTAGAGTGGGTCATTTCCACTTTTCCTGCTTTCCAGTAGCTCTCGTTGACAAATGTCAATAAAAAGCGAATAAATAAGGTCAATAAAGCCAATTACCGTCTGCCCTTAGAACTGGAGCACAGGTGGGAGATGCAGATCCAAGGGGACAAGGACACTCAGTGGCAGGAGCAGTCCTAAAATGCAGCCGTCGGGAAGGAAGAAGAATCCAAGTAGACTTGTCCAGGCTTGTCCAGACTGGGGTGGACAGGATGAGCTGAAGCCATCGGCATTCGCGTCTGTAAGGAGAGCAGGATGTCAGCGGGAGGTGATGACCACGCTAATAAATTAACCTTTGCCTAATTACTCCTCGTAGCAGAGTCCAGAGAAGCCGGCGGACAGGGTAAACCTGGCCTCCAATGGAAAAACAAGCCATCCCACCAGCTCCCTCCAGCCCTGGCTGCGCCGGCTGTGTCCCTACAATTATTTTAAAATATTCCAATTTAAATGAAAATATAAAAGAGATATTTAGAATATTTATTCTATTAGCAAAAGTGCTTACCGCGTCGCTTTTGGAGTGTCAGAAAAGCATTCTCCTACAGATGATGGATAGCAGCCTGTAATTATATATGGGGAGAAATTGCTGAGTGGGCCATATTTAGCTGGGGAGGAGACATACCAGGGTGGGCCATTAAGGGTTAATTTTATTCTCTAAATAATAGAAAAAGTGCTGAGTCCGCTCCTTTGCGCAAAGTAGAAAGTCCTCAAATGGACCCCGGAGAGTTTATAATATTCTCCTGAATCAAGTAAAAATGTTAACCTTGCTTCATAAAACGATGGCTTGTTAAAGATGCGCTGTCCCTTTTCCCTCTGAATAATTTAGGACAGGAGTAAATCTTGCCTTGTTCTGCCTTGCTGGGTCGGAGAAGCGGTGGAGAAGCTTGAGCAAGGAAGGCGAAGGGGCCCCCTCGAAGGCTAAACTCCAAGGAGGACGCCCCGTAATTAGACATTGGGATCTTTGGCATCGGCGTTGGCCTTGGCTTGGCACCTGGCTCTCCCTCCCACTGCCTTTTCCGCTTGCTTTCATGAAAAATACCCGTTTATTATCCATAATTTATTGCAGTTCCTTGCCTGAAGCACTTTCCGCTCTTGCTTCCAGGACACGTGGGTGGAAAAGATCAACCTTTGCTCGTCTCATGGGCTGTAGCTCTGACCTGCCTGCCATGGACCCTTCCTTGTGGGTTTTTAATGAGGACGACGCCGGCCATTGTGCAGGGCTGAGCTGCAGAAGGAGTGGAGAATAAGTGGAAATGCTTTAATTTTGTATCCCGAAATTCCCTTTGGAGGGGCATAGGGGAAGGTAGTGAAGCTCCTGCACCTCTTTGGAGAGGAGACAGTTCCTGTACAAGTCTCTGCTTCATTATGGAGGATGTCAATCCTCAGTATTAGTCATGTCTAGGAGGCAGCTGGTGGCAAGGTGAGAACTTGGATTTCCAGCACCTTCACCCATTCTTACATCCTGGCTTGGGAAAAGCTGCCCCAAACCATGGACATCAGGAGTTTTGGGACATCATCATCCCAGGGCAGGATCCGGAGACCTCATGTCACCTTTCAGCAGGAGGTCTGGAGACGTAGGGCTTCCTTGAAGGTCTGGAGACGGTGCAGAGAACGGGCACCTTGCAACGCGTTTTCTCATTGCCAAACCCGAATGACGGGTGGAATAAGCGTAGCCGGGGCTGGTTGTGGTGTCGTTGCCCATAGGCAGCGTTCAACCCTCACAGCCTGTCGGAGCAGAGGTGGGGAAGTCCGCCTGGCCTCCTTCAGCATCTGGAAAATCAGTCGGTGTTAACTAAGCCTTTTCCCCACGGCGTCTGTTAGCAAGCGCGGTGCCGTAAATACCTATCTTCATATTGGTGCCATCAGCTGCTTGGAAGCCTGTGGGTAAATTGTTCCCCCTGGGGAAGCGTTAAGCAGCACGAGACGCTGCGATTAAACAACGAGGCTACCGTGCAAGCGCCTGGGGAAATGGGCTGGAATAAATCACTGGGAAGCGGGATCGGCATGCGGAAAGTCAAGGTGCAAATGGAGCCAGCAGCAGCTTCGGGTGCCTTCAGGTCACGTTCCTAAGTGAGTCTGAATTCCAGATTTGCAGGATGGTCCTGGCTGATGGAGTTTTGAGTCGGCCTCTTTGCAAAAGGCAACTTTGAGGTTGAAAACAGGAGTTAATTAGAGCTTTTGCTGTTGCACTGGAAACACGTGAGGAATTGCTCAAATGACTCAAAATACCTGGAGCTCTGGCCCCGGTTTGTCATTTATTCAGGTAAAGTGTCAGTAATTCATGTTAACTTGGCTGGTTTGGATTAACCAGGGCTTCTCAGGGAAATGCCACTTCCTTGGGGGAAAATAAACATTGATTTTTGCCCCCAGGTGCAGTGTGTTTGCTTCTTGCAGTACCAGCTGCTGAATTTCCCAGAGAAAACTCATATGTAGGGACTTTCTCTTAGCTCACATCTTGTTCTCTTCTCTATTTCTGTGGTCTGGGGATGTCTGAGGTTGTCTTGGAGTTTCTCATCTACTGGTAGAGGTTTAACAGGTTCCCACAGTAAAATTATTTTGGTGTCAAGTGTCTAATATTTTAAACTTAACACTGTCCAAATCTTTAAGCCTGAATCTTTGGGATGGTTAATCCACATTAACCATCTTGGTGGCCACAAGGAATGACTGAATATAAATCCTTTAAAAATCATTTCTCACTCCTCCATCATATTGGTGTCTTGTTGTGTTCCACTATCCTCCTCCTCTCCAAGATCGATATCACTGCTGTGGTGGAGCTTGAACCTTCAAGGAGAGGCAGCGGGGTTTGTACTCCAGCAAATTGCTTCTTCTGAAGAGATGAT